TAAAATAGAATATCAAAGACATAAAAATGTAACTTTTGGAAAATGAAAGTAATAGATATTTTCACAATAGAAAAATAAAAAATATATTTATATAAGAGAGTTAATTATAAAAATAAAATACAAATATAGAGAAATTAAAAACTCTTTCTATTTATGTATTTTAGAAAATAAAATGAATAAAAGAGGGAGAAAATTGACAACAAGAAAAAGTGATATAACATATTTAAAATAAGAGACTGGTATTTTAGTTTGTTCAATGCACATGTTAAATGTTTATTACATATAACTAAATTTAAAATAAATTATGTATATAAACAAATTTTATATTTAAATATATAATTTTGAATAAATAGATATTTTTAAATATATAAACCATATTTTAGATTTATGATAAGTAATTTATATTATAGCACAACATTATCTTTACTTAATTATAATTTATTTTAAAATATTAAAATTTAACTAATAAATATTTATGATAAGTAAATATCAAACTAATATGAAATTAAAAGAATCTATAAAAATCCTTTTATTGAAGAAAAGTCACTAAAAGTACTCTCGCGCAATATAGATGTTTGTATTTTATATATAAGGATTGATACAATGTTAAATATCAAAATTTTAATATAATTTAAATATATTTATTATCTTATTTAGAATATTAATTTAATTATCTATTTTATCATGAAAATTTTCAAGACTTAATTACTTTATTAAAATAAAATTATGATGACATTTAAAGACTAAAGTGACAGTATTATAATTTTAGTGATTAAAATATTATTGTGTTAGAATCACATGTCAGCTAATAAATATACACTAAGTGACACACTCATATGATATGGGTCATTTATTTTATATATGTACTATGTAATGCAACATGATACTATCATATCATATAAACACTTTCGTTTTAAAAAAAATAAAACTTATTTAATGAAATGACTTAAATGAATGACATATTACATATTTAGAGACTTTTTTTTACTTTCATTAAAATCAAAAACAAAATTAAAAATAATATATAATTTTAAAGACTAATTTAACCATTTACTCTATTTTTTGAGTTAACATATTATTAGTAAAACTTCTTCTATGATTTTTCCACCTATAAAATATAAATTCAAGACTTAAAGAATTTGAACATATTTATATTTAGACTAATAATATATTAATATTCATTTCTTATTTAATACTAGTCTCATTCGTGATTTTATAATCTTTAATAAATTTTAATAATAATAAAAATATACTGAAACTTAAAAATAAGTATTATTTGTATTAATAAAAAAATTACAATAATAACAAAAAAATTCAAACTTAAATTTTTATATATATTACATCATCTAGCCTAGTTATGATTACTTAAGAGCAATATGCTATATTAAAATCATATATTTTCTTATCATTAAAAAAAAAATAATAATAATATTTAAATATATAATTTTATAAATATTAGTTGAATGTCGAAGTGGTGGTGCATACAAAAAGGCCTTGTTAATTTAAAAAATTGGTGGTCTTGTGAAATGGCAATCCCATCTTGTTTTGGTGGCCAAATTTGGATGTTTGTGACCTTATTTCCGAAACCAGCGCAATTGCTGGTCGACCTGACACGGATTCAACGAAAAGACCCAACCCCTTTTTTCCACACTGTCACCGCCAAACCCCAAAACTCACTCCATCATCTAAACAAGAGTAACGCAACACCTTCCATTTTAATACTTTTTCATATTTTATATCCACTCAATATAACACACAATACCCTAAGCTTTCCACCAATTTAATTTATGCACTCAATTTTTGTCGCATTTATTTACGACATGCTTGCATCATCCCTAGGGCCACCACTTTATATATCACTGGCTTATGTGTACAGTAAAAACGTGGGAATCGATTTTTATCAGTTAGTTTTCTTAAAAGTAATTTACCAAAAAGTCCAAATGTGTTTTGACTTTGACAAAGACTCACCCTCATCACCGTTAAGCACACGAGACTGTTTCATTTTAAACAAAGATCTTAATTTTAAATATGCATATGTTGTTGTATTAAATACTTTGATAGATTTGTCACTTGTAATAATCCTATATGACTCGATCAAAATTGTATTATTACATTTTCATCTGATAGATTTATCACTTATAATAATAATCTTAGCTATCTGATTTAATCAGAATTAGATATGGTTTATAAAAAATAAAATAAAATAAAACTCACTCTCATTCTTTTCTTCCTTTTTGTTCCTTTATCCCCTCTAAAGGTTTATTTGACATTCATACAAGTTAGACTACAAAACTTTTCCTCTGGCTACCAAAAGGAAAAGACTAACCACCAAGAATTTCAGATATTGCATCAAGTTTTGTTAGCCTTGAAGGAACCCTCACACTGTTATGGAAACTCACCAGCACCAAAAGAAGACAGAAAACGATGTGGCAAATCTCATAGTAGAAGTAGCACCACAGTTGAGGCAAGAAGGAAACAGAGAACAAGAGCAAGCACCCTCACCACAATCTTCAACACCCTCTTCCCCTTCTCAAGAGTTCTCCTTCAAAATCTCCCTCCACCACCCCACATTCTCTCACAACTCACCACCATCTCTTGCACTTGATTTGTCACCTGCTGATGACATATTCTTCCATGGTCACTTGCTCCCTCTCCAACTCCTATCACACCTCCCTGAATCACCACGCTCTTCAACCAATTCCATGGACAGTTTCACTCTCCCCATCAGAGACTTTCTAGAAGATGAAAACCAAAACCACCCCATTAAGGACAGTGGCAGCACCACCACCTCAGACAGCAACAACAGCAGCAAAAGAGACCAAGACAACATAGGAAGAAAAAGGGTACAAGGTAAGTCCAAGTTTGGTTTTTCATTGTTTGGATTGACCAAGGGGCACAAAGGGTGCCAAGATAAGGAAGGTAATGAAGTGAAGCACAAGAAGAAGCCAAGGTTTGATTTTGATGTGATCCATGCAATCAAAAAGTACTTGAGACTGGTCCAGCCTAGGATGCTTTTCAAGGGACAAAGAGAGAAAATTAGACCCCATAATGGACAGTGTTATTCTTATTCAGGGAATGTTACTCCAACAAATTTGAGGGGTTGGAGAGGGCAATATTCAGCACCAGCATCAATGAGGACTTCTCCAACAAACAGTGGTCTCTTGATTGCAACCACACCTCTTCCTCCTGCTAGTGACAGTACCATGGAAGAGTTGCAAGCTGCCATTCAAGCTGCAATTGCTCACTGCAAAAACTCAATTGCAAAAGAAGAGAAGCTCAAGTGCTGATTCAAAGATAGGAGAGATTTTTTCTTTATCTTTTTTGTCCCTAGTGTTTTATTTACTATCATTCATTTTCTATGTGCTATTTAAGGTATCTTGTACATAAAAAATGTACCATCATAATGTGGTTAAAAAATCACAGCTAGAAATAATATCTCAGAAGATTAAGAATCTTGCTTTCAAATACCAGGTAAGTTGAATTTTTGGTATTCATTATGGTCAAATAGACTTCTCAAATCGAAGAACGTTCTTAAGAATATTGTCTTTCGGAGAGGACAAAATTTTGTGTTCTTCTCCAAATAAAATTTATCTTAACAGTATGTAATATATATATTTATTCTTAATTATTAAGATAAAATTTCAATTCTAATTTAAAATATGAATGGTACGTATGATATTGCATCTAGTTTTTAGAAAATTACCCACCAATAAATTCCCCATCTCAACAGTGGGATAAGAGTATGATTTCCCATCTCAACAGTGGGATATGAGTCATACACTTATCGACCAGACCAATCTTGTTTCATAAAAATATTAAGTTGCATCCTGTTCTAGAATCTAGAGCAACTTGTATACTTTTCAAAGAATCTAGAGCAACTTGTATAATGTGTGCCTTGTATTTATGTCATGATTTTTTGTAAGCTTCTTCAGCTAGTGGCCAGTTCTGCTTCCATTTGGATCAACGATAGAATATAATTACTATGTATCCAGAATACACGGATTGATAAGAGAGAGATATCAATAATTAAGAAACTATATGTTATTTTCTCAAAATGGTACGGATTCTCTATGTGGCAAATTCGACATGAATGTGCACCTAGCAGCCAGAGATGCGTCAAATTTTATCATCTTAAAGGGCCAATGTTTTCTCTACATTGTCCTTGCAAGATCCATAATATTAATGATTACCTGAGCTACGTTATTCTTTTTCTTTCATTTTCCGTTGCGTTGGTATTTTGTTTTCTTTCAAAATCATACATATCCAATTAATTGCTGTCCAATTGAGACGTGTTAGGACCAGATATCATATACCTGATTCAATTCTCTTGCCAAATAATCTATTCTACCCTGTCACAATCATGTCAAGAAAGGTTATATGGATTTTTGAAGGTTACAACTGTTGGTGACAAATCACAACGTATTTATATGCTTAAAGGGTGTGAACAGGTTCCTCGCAGACTTAGGAGTCACGAAAGCTGAATCAACACCAACCAAATTATTTGCCTAGAAACATAAGGAATATCATCATCATTATGCGATTATAGTTTCAAACACAATTAATTACAATACTATTATTAATTGGTACCGAAACTATATCTTATTAGGACATTAGGGGATGGGGAGGGGAAACAAGTGAAATGAGATAGGGATGTTCCATGGTGATTGGACTCTATCAAGAATTTGTATGTAAATTTCCTACTTAATGAACTAGAGTCAAATCTAAACCTAACTCGTTGAATCTAAATAAACTTTTAACTCATTGAATTCAAAGAATTGTGATTTAGGATAGGCTAGAGTATTATTTTATTAGGAATGTGAATTTATATTTATTTTTATAAAAAAATATATTATTAGGATTATTTAGTTTTGAGAGGTTCCAATTTATAATAAATAGATTGATATAGAAAGAGTGGTGAATATTAGTATTGGTATGGTAGTAATTTTTTTAAAAGAGGAGATGTAACACCTTACGTTTGTGTAATTAGACTAATAATATTTTTGCTATAAAATTTAAAGAGTTGATAGGTTACAGGACATTTTAAGGTTTAAATTATATTTTATATATTTGTTTTGATGAAGATTATATTTTAATATAATGCTTTTATTATTATTATTATAAAGTGAGGGGAAGATAGGTAATCATAGATGAATTAGAGGGAGGTTAAGTTAGGTTATATTAAAAAGAGAGACGCATTAGTTTCTGCTCATACTCTCATTTTTCTTTTACACTCTAAAGAATCAGGGGGATAGGAGATCATTTTAAAGACCCATGTTCTTTGTTGTTTGCTGATAGAGGTAAGGAGGAGTGATAATTTTCGCTCTAGGGCATGAGATAACTGATAGGTAGTGAGGTTAGCCCGCAACCTCTATGTGTTGTATGCGTTACATGAAGAGGGAAATCCCAATTATTTTCTATTCTTGATTATTATCTATCACATGATTGTATATTGATATGAACTGTGAGTATATATAATTAACTTTGTGCATTAAGCCTGCTTGGAATGAATTGAGTTGTTGTGGATTCCCATGGGAAACTTAAGAGCACGCGTGAGAATGGTTACCGTGTGAGCACATGATGGGAAAGTACAATGATATAAAATTCATGTTTTATAGATGCATTATATGATAAATTAGAGTGTTTTTACCGATTGGAATGATAAATACATGTTTTGGATTTTTTGTTTGCAAATCGCGATTCTACAAGTTTTGGTGTTTCTAATATGGCACCGGGCGCCACTTGTGTCTCGCTGGGCGCTTGGGTGCCCAAGAGTAGAGTTCACCCCCTGTTTTGTTTGTGTTGGGTTTGGGGCATGTTTCATCAGGCATTATCGAGGGAGTCCCTGTTGTTATCTCATCGAGCGTGAGTCATCCTGAGAGTTATAAGTGCTCACTAGATGTGTTGCGTCGAGCATAGATGGATTTCTGTCGAGCACTGATTGTATATAAAAGTTGTTTCCTTTACGAGAACTAAGAGAGGTGAGGAGTAATTTGAATGTTGATGAGTGTGAAATGAACATGTATGCTTGGTAAATTGCTTGAGGGTGATACTTGATTCTTGTTAGCAATTTGTGTATGTGGTAACATATATGTATGATTAATAACAATTGTCAACATGACAAATCGTATATGTGGCAAATTGTTAGATGACAAATTGTTGAGCATAAGTATAAATTGAATTCATAATATGAAAGAGTCTGTGTGACATGCATCATAGGCATGCAAATCAACAAATCAACAAATAGTTTAATATGCATTGCTCATATCTTAAGATTGGTATCACATGCATGCAAATCGAGAGTTCGTGTCTATTGGATTTCATATTTGCATGTGCCTTGTTAACAAGTGCTTGTGTCGGTAGTGATAAATGAATGATGGTGATAGTTGATTGTTATTATCATGTTATTGTATAAATAATGTATGGAGTGTGTTTGACTATCTGTTTCTTATATTCCATGCCATAAGCTAGAGTGAGAAGTTTTCTTACACCCTTGTGTTCCATGTCTTGTTTATATGTATGTTGTTGCCAGTAATGTTCATCAGGATCTTGATGACGCTAGTGATAAGACGTAATTCTTGTTTTGGGAGTACTCTGATAGGACATATGACATCGGGACTTAGATTATGACTAGTTAGAATTTTGTTTATGTTAGTTATATTAAGTAATTGATTTTATTTTTCTTGTAATTTGTTATTTTTCCTAAGTTTATTTTATGTTAAAATGTAATACCTTTTTACACATGCGTGATAGAGAATATCACATATGACTCTTAAAAAAGTAAGAAATAATTAATGGGTATTCATCCAAGAACTTATTCACAATATAAATAGGTATTTAATTAGTAGAAACATAAATAAGGCTACTCGTAAAGAAAATAAGTATTTCAAGGGAAAGAG